CATGGCATCAAACATTGAAACTCATGGTGGGAAAAATAGGGAATTGCTTATTTATGCCAAAACCGAAAAATCTGAGAATTGCGTTTTCCGCCATAATTACAAAATCGTATTTTCCCACCAAAACTATAAAATAACGATTTTAGTGGGAAAATTGCGGAATTGTGTTTTCCCGCCAAACCGGAAAAAATCACATCAATTCTTTGATATACTCTAAATTATATTTTTAAATTTTAATTTAGTACTATATGTATTCAAAATATTTTTCCTATTGTTTTTAAATTTTAATAGGAAATTTTTTTTTTTAATATATTTATTTCATGAAAATAGATTTTAGTACCATATGAAAAATGTATTTAAAATGCTCTTTGAACTGAATAAGAAAATAATTTATTAAATTTAATTATTTCATGAAAATAGAAATTTCTAGATGTAAGAAAATATTAAAAAATTATGTTGTAAATGTAATTTTAAATCATTAAAATATGATTAAGATGAAAACATGTCCTTTTAGTCATTTGAATACAACATACATCGAGATGCATATGCAAATTTAATCAAACCAACGAAACTTCGTTCAAATGCTTCATCTAGATGGATTACTAAATTCAGAAACGAACAACACCCAGATGATATATCTGGATGGATCATCTAGATGCATTATATAGATTTTGTTCTTTTTGATGGTATTAGTGATTAGTCATGTCCACTAGGTATTTTATCAAATTGATGTATAATAAGTATATGTTACATTGTGCTTTGTTTTTGAAGAGCTACAATATATTTTAATATAATTTTTAGTATATATATAATACTATCATTTGAATAATTTAAGATTATTTTTTTTTAATTCAGTGAGATGTCTACGAAAAGCATAAAAGGAAAATTGTGTGGAGCAAAAAGAAGGAGAAGAATTTGATAAGTTTTAAGTGAATGCTTTGTTCAAGTGTGACTGGCAACATGTTATTTTTGGAGATGACGAAATGAGTGAATATAAGCGTATCTTGAGCATTAAATGTGCAAAAAAAAAGTGTGAAAGAAAGGAGGAGAAAACTCATCTTCTTCTAAGTGCTTGCATTTCTCTTATTTATCTTACTAGAAGCTGAGTCAAATCCTTCACCAAAATATCATTAGTTATGGTTAGCTTCAATTTGATGGTTTCTGGTTTATTTCCATATCGTTTGAATTTAATTCCTCCATACTCAGTGACTGAGTTCTATGGGATATCTTGTAAAAAGAATATATACAAGTATATTATGTAACTTTGATATGAAACTACGTATTAAAACTAAATATAATTACTTTATATAATACATTAGACTTGCTAATTTAGAGTATAAGGTCAGGTAATACTATGTACATGTTGGGTTAGAAAAAATCTATATGAAGTGTATATATATTTGGTTTTTTAATAAAAAAGACTAGGTAAAATTTTTGGAATGAATTCGAGTAATTACGGGTGAGTTATGGTAATTAACAATAGTTTTTTGATATTTTTAAGACATAACAAATATATTTTTTTTTTGAAAAATTTAAGGTCATTGCATTTTGCCATGGTTAGTCCGTAGCGAGACCAACTGGAATACCCTCATGTATCCCTCGTGCAAGACGATTGGGACATACTTGGATCCTGACGAGGAAGTAAGCTATACGGGATTCACTGTGAGCTCTACGGCGGACACCCTAACCTATCGGTATAAGGTAAATAACTAAATTTGTTTCATTTTTTTCGATCCAATAAATTATTTATATAAAAAATTATATGTGTAGGTTAATGCAAGGGCATATCAAATACCTTTATTAACGGGTGTTCGTGATATCATGATGAGTTTGGTCACTCGATTGTCCACATCGAGGAAAGACTAGATGGTCTCATGGGTGGAGAGCATGGGATTGATATTAATCTGGATTACTCGGGTAATCTATGACATACTTTTATTTTTTATTATTACTAAGGGTTAGTCTGGGATATGTCTGGATATATATATTTAACAATTAAGTTATTTAACAATAAAAAAACCTTATCTAACATAAAAAATATATTGAAAAACCTTATCTACCATAAAAAAAAAATAAACTTATCTAACAATTATGTTATTTAACATTGAAAAAAGCCATGACATACAGTACAATAATATAAAATTTTCTCAAGAAATCTTTATGCATCAAAAATATTATTTCCTCAACGATGAGAGAGCCAAATGGTACATATATCATTGTGCGACCATTGTTCTAAACAAAACAGAAAATTTGGATTTAATTGAATCTGGTATTTTTTTTTTATTCAAGTAGAAAAATGTTTTACACTTCAAATACGAATAAAAACAAAAATTATAAGTTATGATCATAATTCATAACTTTGAGTTGCTCCAGCTAGATGCTTCACGGGGCCATGCGGTTAAACATTGTACTAAGCAAGTGACAATATTACTGAATAAAAATCAAACTAGTAAGTGATGATGATGGTTCCTAACCAGATGAATGGGGCAGTGAACTTGGTTCATAAATTGGCCAAAGAGCTGTTGCAAGATTTGAAAAACTCTTCCGTCGCTCTGGTCGTAAAACCTTCTGAAAAAGGTTTTATGAAACATGGGTCAGAAACAGAGGTAACAGAGAAAACATAGCCAGTGCTGGTTAGTGATATATAAGCCCACCGTAACAAGCTCTAGAAACAAAATTAGATGCATTTGGGCAGTGGACATAAATAATCCTAAAAGATCATCACTCTTCTAGTCGCTCAAGCCCCAAAACTGGCAGTGAGTTAGTTGCGGTTTCACCAAATTGTTTAGAGTTGATGCGGTTATCAACCCAAGAACCAACCATGGAGAAAATTATGGGCGAGAAACAACAACCCAGGAGCAACAAAGTGGGATTTTTAACCAAGTTTTATCCAAAACTTCGGGCCAAAGCCAATTCAGACTACACGAGAAGACCCCTGGGCCTTGTTCAGTCCAGAAGAAGTCCAAGATCATTTCATCCTGCCCAGTGAACACTTGGAATACATTCTCAGATCAACTACTAAGTACCTCGAAGAAGAATCAGCCCAAAAGGAGTTCACACGAAGGAGTTATTCAATTTACAAGTCAGGTGATTCCCAGCTTACCCGATTTGGACATACACAGAGTCATTGGAGGATTCCGACCATAACAGAAAGATTTAAGCTACGAAGTGAATTTTCATGCATTCTTGACTCATCAGAGGAGCTCTTCAAGTTGGAATCAAGTCAAAAACGATTTTGGTTTAGGAGATATTAATTTTCTCAACCAGATGATTCTCGGCTTGCCTTATTTGGAAGCTGACGGGTTTAATTACTTGCAAACCAAACTTTGGCGACCAGGAGAGTCAGCTAACATCTTTCTATGCACCAGCAAGCACCAGATCAGGCGGATCTCCTTGTCCTCACACTTTCCTTATATGGCCGCATTCACACTTAGGGCAATAACTCTCCAACGGCTTTCTCACCAAGACTGCTGCGTTTTGGGTCACCTCTATGACGACCAGAATGACCCCTCTATGACGACCAGAATTTTCCAGAGAAGCTTAAACCAACCAGATTCAAAGGAGACACAACTTCTCATATTTTGATTGATTTCTTCATTATTGCCCAACGGCTAGTTTTGCATTCATTATATGATTTCTTTCTTCTTTCTACCATATTAGCACGTTAGTCTACTCTTGTAGGAGCTCTATATAAAGCTCATTTCGCCCTTTGTACAATGCACCCTTGATCATTTTAAAATAATAAGAAATATTTTCTTTTTGTCAAAGTGCGAGTCTTTGTCGTTTATTAATTAGTCTTAAGTGAGTGAGTCTCTTAGGCCTATTTGAATCTGCAGATTAAGTTTGTTGATAAGTTCAACATCCTTCTTTCGTTCATTGATCGAGTGAGTCGATTAACTCATTGATTGAGCGAGTCAATCATACTATCTCCACATCGTTTTCCATCCTTCCACGAAATTAAGCTTGGAATGTCTTGATCATTGAGTGATCATAAGTTGGATTGGTTCTAATCTTATATCAAGAGTACTTGAACATGACAATAAAGAGGGTGATGTTTATAATACTATGATGGAATGAGAGAAAACAGAGTAAAATTGAGCTGAGATCCGTGAGGAGGGGGAAGTAGTTGAGTCAGAAGTAGAAGAAAATGGAGTGGTTAAAGAATCTAATGGAGAGGCCAATTTCACAGTAAATGTGATCATTTTACTACTTTAAAGTTTAAACCTTCAAAATGGCTTTCTTGCGGGGCCGCGAACACAAAAGCCATTTCGATGGTGTATTGTATGAGTTTAAACACATTGAAGGTTTAAAGTGAAGTGATTGTCACCTTAAAGTTTTTAACGGTGTTTTTCCAAAAACATCTACGAATGTTTGAACTATATGAATGTTTTTTCGAACAAACAATATATTGCATACCCAACATTGCATGAGTATGATGCAATTTAAAAGTACATCTCTCTGTCTGCCTCATCAAACTTGGACTGACGACTAATGATGATGGATGACTCTCTTTCTCTTAACTTAACTCTTAAACTTACTAATCATTAACTTTAATTTCTTCCTTGAAAAAAATTACCAAACGACATGCCATTTTCATTTAGATTTGTTTATTTTTTATCACAATTTCTCGCTTTATAATATAAAATCGGAACCAAAACCATGTGTATATATAGAAAATGACAACTGGATTTTATATGATTACCGCACAGTCCACCAAATGCAAATTAAAATTATAATGTTCTATAAAATTAGATCTTTCTTTTTCTATCATGACCTTGATGACTCCCGTCAGACATGAATTATTTTACATGGAAAATGTTTTACCTCTATTATTTTTATTTGTATGATACTTAATTAGAAACGTTATTAACATATTGTTTAGAATTGCTCTCATCCTCCAACGAAAGAAAAAAAATATTTAAGGCATAGGTAAAGGTTTATGACTTTGGAAGTTTAAACTATATACACTTATTTCGGTTCATAGAGAATCAAATCAGTTTGCGATGGCCCAGAAGTTGGAAGCAAAAGGCGTAAAAGGAGGCAATCAGTGGGATGATTTAGCTGACCATGATCATGTAACAAAGATATATGTACAAGATGGTCGCAAAGGTATTCAGTACGTCAAGTTTGATTATGTCAAGAATGGTCAACCACAAACTGGATCACTCCATGGTCTCATGGGTAGACGATTGATGAAAAAGGTATGCATGTCTATAAAATATGATAATTAAGTATTTTCATTGTATAGTAATTATTATTGACAGTTTTAATCATTTGGTATCACCATTTAATTGCAGTTTGAGATTGATCCAGCCAGTGAATATCTTGTATCCGTTGAGGGTTACTATGATGACGCTAAGGGTATAATTCAAACACTTAAATTCAAAACCAACAAGAAGACTTCTGATATGATAGGATACAATGCAACTGGTTTGAAGTTTTCACTTAAAGTTAACGGAAAAAAGATAATTGGCTTCCATGGATATGCTGATACTAATCTCAACTCTCTTGGAGCTTATTGATGTAGTACTTTTGCTCAATTAAATATCGAACCACAATTTGCAATTGATCAACTCACTAGGAATACACGCAAAAGCTTAATCTAGGCTAATAAAATGATTTGGTTTTGTAAACATGACTAACAAAGTAAATAACAATCAAACAATGCAAAACAAAACAAATGAAAGCAAAATGCAAAAGACTAACAAGTTTCGAAAGTAAACAAAGCGGAAAATTAACGAGTTACTAAACGATAACTAAAGGCGAATTCTCGGGTTAAAGGGAATTGATTAGGAATGATTAAGAAGTGGATTATGGAGCTTCAAACAACTTCTAATAAGCAATGATCCCTAGGCCATAGAACACTAAGCAACACTAACACATTTCCATGACATTAGTCCATTTACTAATCAATTAATCATCAACTTCTTCCAAAGGCAATCAATTGACTAACAAGCATTATAAACAAGTCTATCTAGCCACTTAACACCCTAGTCAACAATTTCCAAAGGTAAGGAATGTAAAGCACTTGAAGGTTTTGGTTCGGGAATTTCATCGAACACATTCCGGGCATGAAATCCCTAAAGTCTAAATCAACATGATCAAGGCTAATCTAACGTTATAAACAACCAATAAGTAAGGATCTTAAGTAATCTAGCCCTAAACTCCATAACCTAACAACTAAACCATCCTAATCTACCTTAACCCAAGAACTCTAAATGACTACTCACTCATGATCATGATTACACAAAGCAATAAGTTTGATCTTTGTGAAATCATAATTAGAGAAGGTAGATAAGAGAATTTAAAAGAAGTACTTGATATTTAAGCTTAAGAACCAAAGATTCATACAAAAACTTAGATAGAAACCTTAAGAGAAGTTTTTGATCTCTAAACAAAGCATAAGACAATCTAAAACTAGGTTAAAAGTATATATAGAAAAGGGAAAAACGAACCGGGTCAACCCGGAACAAACCGGGTTTTGACCCGGTTTAGGCACCCAATCGACCACTCAATCGACCACTTGGTCTATTGGGTAGAGCAATCGATCGATCAAGTAATCGATTGAAATGTTGTCCGTAGCTCTGGTCTATGTCAATCGACCAGGGAATCGACCAGGTGGTCGATTGGTTTGTCCTGAGGCAATCGGTCGATTGCTTGATCGATTGCTTGATCGATTGGTGTCTTGTCCGTAGCTCTGATCCATGTCAATCGACCAGGGAATCGACCAGGTGGTCTATTGCTTCCTCTTCTCTTCTTCAATCATCTTTTTTCACCACATCTTGACATCTCCTTTCACCTCTTGATCCCTCTTTGATCTTCATTACTCAAGTTGCCTTCTTTTAGCTTCCTTTTTGCTCTATTTATTCCCAAAACTCCAAGCTCCATTCATGTACCTAAGAAAACCAAATGCAAATGCAAATGCAACACTATATGCCAAAATATGAATGCAAAGCAATGAAAACTAAGAGAAAAGAGGCTTTAAAACAACCAAAATCACTAGACATCACTTATTTCACAACGGCTCCTCCTACTAAATTTGACTGTCAAGGTGGTTCAGGATCCCAGCTTTGGGATGATGGTTCTAACTACAGTGGTGTGAGAAAGGTTTCCTTTGCGTTAGATGACACCGAGATAAGGAAAATCAAGATTAATTATGACAAAGGTGGCTTAGTGGAAAGACGTGAGTACGGGGGTAACGTAGGACGACAAGAGGAGGTCCAAGTTCTGACATATTTAAATAATCTTTTGCTTATTTCTTACTTCAGTTTGTGGTCGACTATCCAAGTGAATACATCATATACGGGAGGTACCTGCGATATTGTAAGCAATACTAGTCAAAACCGTGTTAGGTCGCTGATGTTCAAAACATCATAAAGGATAACCTCTCCGATATTTGGAAAGGTTGCTACTCGCAAATTCGTTTTTGAAAGCAACGGTAGTGCCCTTATCGGGTTCCATGGACGAGCAGCTGTTGCTCTAGATGCCATCGGAGCTTTTGTCTCCCCGTTTATTCTTCCACATCCTTATTCTCCTCATCCTTCTCTTCCTCCTTCCGCTGAAACACTACAAGCAAAAGGTGGTGAAGGAGGAGATCCATGGAACGATGGTGTTTTCAACGGTGTGAGGAAAATATATGTAGGACAAGGTGGAAATGGTGTCAGTGCCGTCAAGTTTGTGTATGATAAGGACTCTCACGTGGCTGAAGGGAATGATCATGGGAACCAAACACTTCTTGGATACGAGGAGGTGATTATATATCCTTTCAGTTTTTTTTTTCATTATATCATATTCAAAAATTTGTATAACCTGGTCCTTTTTTATAGTTATTAGTTATTCAAGATGATCAACCTCTTTATTTATTCTCCATGTTTCGCAGTTAATCTAGAATATCCTAGTGAGTACATCACCGCGGTGGAAGTTTGACAAAATATTTGGAAGTGGAGGCGGAGTTATAACCATGCTTAAGTTCAAGACCAACAAACGAATCTCTCCACCGTTTGGACTCGAAACAACATCAAGCTTTGTTCTTGGGAAGGAAGGTTATAAAATTGTAGGGTTCCACGGAAAATCTAGTCATGAGCTTCACCAGCTCGGGGTATATGTCGTGCCCATTTCCCAGTGATATTTGCCCGATCTTAAATGAGCTACATTGACGAACTCTTATCATATCAAGTTTGATCAGGTTCTTTCAAGATTTAGTTGTCTCCCATGTTTGTTCTAATAAGTGTTGTCTCCTATGTAAATTTGTATCTCGTTTATGCAATGTCATGTAATAAGGACTAACGAATAACGATGATAGGTGGCTCACTTTGTCTTAACTCTTAAACTCACCGCATCACTAACTTTCTGAGTCCAAATAATAATGTTATAACTTTGTCTCGTTTATCACTAGACATGTCATTTTCCTTTTTTTTTTTTTTTTGGTTTCCTTGCGGTTTACAATTTCTCGCTTTATAAATAAAGTGAAAATTATCACCCTAAAATAAAATCGGAACCAAAACAATTTTTGTTGTATCAGTTTCGGTTTGGTTACATATTTTAAAACTTGATTAAAGAAAACCTGAATTTAGATTTGAATTCAATGTTATCAACTTCTTGGTTTAGTTAAACCAAACAAATTGGACACCCTTGAAATTATGCAAATGAAATTTTATTTTATACCGAATAAAGACAAACAAAATAGTGATGTTAAGTCGGTTGACAAAAATTATCGTTCAAGAAACAAAGAACCAAAGTTGTTAAATCAACGGGTTATTTAAAATACAAGGAAACACAAAGTTGCAACCACCATGTTGGTTCCTTTTTAACACCTGTCTTGTTTTTGGATCACTATCAAATTCTTCTTCTCTTACAAGCATCAATTTTAAAACAAGAAATCTCTCCATTACGTTTCACATCTTCCAATTACCATGATTATAAAAATAAATATAAAACATTATTTTGACACCAAAAAAAATAATATAAAACATTATACTATGGAAAAACAAATTAGTTAGTTTATGTATTCACCACCAACTTCTGTTGTATTGGAAGAACAGCAACCTTAGTAGCTTTCATGTCCTCCTCAACTTCCCCAATCATTTAACCATAACCTCTCTATATTATATACACTTCTAACCATTATCAAAACATCTCCCTCATTCATTGATCCAAAAACCCAAATCGAAAAATCGATCTTTGGTCAAGAAAAAATGAGAACCAAATCTCAATCTTCCCTTAATCTCAAGGTCATATTCATAGGTTCCTCAATCTTGATCTTGCTCATCATTTACTTAGCAAGATCAAACATCTCTTCCTCCTCCTCAAAGCCAATCTCCAAAACTAATCTCTCCCAAGAAGAAGAAGAAACTCAACAAAAGCCAGAAGGATGTCCAACGACGACACAACAATGCACAAAGATGCCACTTTCTTTATCCGATGCATTGGTTCATTATGTCACCAGTAACGTCACTCCACAACAAACATTTGATGAAGTCTCTGTCTCAAAGAGAGTCTTGGACAAGAAGTCTCCTTGTAACTTCCTCGTCTTTGGCTTAGGTCACGACAGCTTAATGTGGGCATCTCTTAACCATGGTGGTCGTACCTGTAAGTACTCTGTTTTTCCTCTGTTTCAAGATCTAAAAAGTTTAAGGTTTCTCATAAAAAAGGTTTTATTTTACAGTGTTTATTGAAGAAGACGAGGCATGGATTTCGATAGTAACTAAGAAGTTCCCAAACCTGGAATCTTACCACGTAGTTTACGACACAAAAGTCAAAGATTCAGACAAACTAATGGAACTAGGAAGATCTGAAGAGTGTAGATCTGTGTCTGATCCAAGAAACTCGAAATGTGATCTTGCGTTGAAAGATTTCCCGGCGGACTTTTACGAGACGAAATGGGATCTGATTATGGTTGATGCTCCAACTGGTTACCACGAAGAAGCTCCGGGGAGGATGAGTGCTATTTACACGGCGGGGCTTTTGGCTCGTAACCGTGAAGATGGTGAAACTGATGTTTTTGTTCATGACGTTAACCGTCCGGTGGAAGATGAGTTCTCGGCGACTTTCTTGTGTAAAGGTTACATGAGGGAGCAAAATGGGAGGCTTAGACATTTTACTATTCCTAGTCATCGGGCTCGAGCTGGACGACCCTTTTGTCCGGTGGAGGTTGATCGCCGCCGTTGATTTTGTCCTGAGGATATTATTGTGTGGCGGAGATCGATAGAGATTATTGTCGTTGGCCGGTAAATTGTTTCACCTAGTGGACTTTGATGGACTTGCTTAGCTGGCATTATTTTGGTTGTGTTTTTGGCTTTATTTGATTACGTTTTCAAGATTCAGTGCATTTACTGAAACGGTATATTAAAATAGTAATCTTCACATAATTATTTGTGATTTCACTTTTATGATTAAAGAATTATCAAACATGGTTATTGGTCACATATTGTGTAGAAGAACATTTGTTTTTGCTGATTTACTCCTTTGATTATGTTTTGCTTTTTCTTTTTTGTTATTGCACAAACATTTATTGGCTGATTACTTGATTTTTCAGCCTGAAACATGTGAAACTTTCACATCTTAATGTATTCTCAACATTAGATGGAACATGTTATTGGATATAATTTTTGCGTGTCTGAAAACAATTTTTTCCAAATCAAATTTTTTGACATGAACGTGTTTTCCTTTCAAAGTGAAAAAGGATGGAAGAGCTATGCACTGTTGTTGGATTTTATCAAAATTGCCGTTTAGAAAGAATCATATATACCAAATATAACAAAGCATAACTAAAATCCTTCAACCTCTTCAAAAATTCTAATACCTGAGCAGTCTTTTCGATATATCCTGTTATAATTTCTCGAAATACTTTGACTTCAAAGAATAAATCATTTCCATCAATGTTGATCCTCAAAATCACACAAGTACGTATTCGGAGTCTTAAGGGTGAAAGAAGAATCTCTTATTTAATGACGAGCCGACGATTACAAAAATAGACGAGCTAAAAACTGAGTATACGAGCCGAGCCGCAAAGTACTCTGACGGTTGTACGAAATTCTCTGTGAAAGCGGTTATTTCGGGATCCCTTTACAAACATTCTTTTTTGCTATTTATAGGATGCAGGAGTAGGGTACACTGTGCGTGCGAAATGTCCTTTTTGCCCTTTGGTCGGTGGAAAATCGGATTGGGCCTTTCTTGGGCTTTTCTGGGACTAAACTCTTAATGGGCCGGACCCTTAAAATCTGATTTTCGGCCCGTCTCGTCGAGTTGAAGGCCAAAGATGGGATTATGGGCCCGGGCCCATAATCTACCATCAACAGTAGCCCCCCAACCCTAGTGCGTAGCAAACGGCACGGCTAGGGTTGTAATCATTTCATCGCCCCGGTTTGATTTCTTGCGCACGTTTTCGAGGCGCGTGTGATGAACGCCCTCTTCCGATTCGTCTACTGCTGCTCCCGAGGCCTCGATTATCGGGTCGCTTGCGTGTTGAAGGCGGCGAGGTCGTGATGATTACGCCGTTCTTCGAGGCGTGATGATGACGCGGTTTTTCTTCGACCGACTCCTTCTATAAATACTTCGCTTCCTCCTCATTCCTTTCATTCTTTCTCCGCATCGATTTCGAAGGTATTTTCTCTGTTCTCTCTCCTTTTCTCAGCGCGTCTTTTCTTATTTTCCGATTATGTCTTCAAGTGTCGGTTCTTTCGACTCCATCTCCGACCATCGCCGATCTCGTACTTCCGACGAGTCAAATATCCGGTCTGTTGACCGTTTCCTCAACGAATCTGTCAGCAACTCCCGGGGTCGTAGATCTAGAACCTCTTCCAGATCGTCGGCCTCGTCCGTTGCCAGAGATTCTCCGGTTGTTGCAGAGCTACGACGTCGCGAGCTCGAAAGTCGCGTGGGAGCAGCCGGACCGAGTGCAAATCCTAAGTCCGTTACAACCATGTGCCTTCGCGATGACGACAGTGACGCGGCGTCTACGGATGAGGATAACGTACCGCTCATCAGACGCAAATCTTCTATCATTAGAGCGGCTCGTTCTGTTGGTCCGTCGTCTGATGTCACCGATCGTTTGGACATCATTCCATTGACGAGGCGGGCGCCCGCCCCGGTTGGGTTTGTTCAGCCCGGCGGACCAGCACCGGGAATTCCGGATTACCTTCAACCGACGTCGTCGACGAGCGAGACGATTGAGCTTTCTCTCCATTTTTGCGATGCTCCAGCTTCCCTAAATACGCTCATCCCAAACCCGTGGGATCGTCCCTGGACTGCTCCGCCTGGATATCTTTGTGTATATGAAAAGCTCATCACTGATTGCGGGCTGACTTTCCCAATTCCGGCGTTCTTGCTTCAATACGCTTCGCGACGAGAAATGGCGTTTGCGCAACTTTCTCCGGCTGCTATTCGGAATGCTTACGGCCTGATTCGTTTGGCTGAGCAGTGCGGCGTCGAACCTCGTTGTTCTCTGTACGAGGAACTGACGACGAAGAAGAATTTCGGGAAATCCAAGCCGGGCTTGGTGTATACTCAGTCTTCGCTGACCCCAAAGTTGGTTGTTGGTGCGAAGAGTAAGACCAACGATTGGCTTCGTTGGTACTTCTTTGTTAAGATCGACAACGATTCCGCTGGGGACGTGGTCGTCACGAATTACCATGGGTGGACTATTTCACCCGGTAGTTTGCTTATCCCTCCGAGGTCGATCCTTTGTTAATTGATTATCTATCTGACTTGTTTTTCTCGTTTCTTTTCCTCTTGTAGTTCGTTGTCCCAAGATCTTGGACCCGTATCCTGAGAAACTTCGCGACGACGTTAAGAAGATTCTAGCTTTGTGCCCGTATACCTGGCCCAACGAAGAAGACCCTGTTCGTCGCCCTTCCTCAAAATCTAAGAAAACGAGCCGAAGAGGAGGTCCTTCAAAAGCAAGGAAGGCTAACAAGTCTCCAGGTCGGCCTTGATCTTTCCCTTCTTTCCTTATTCGTTCGATGAGTGCGTACGATTTTTCTTACATTCTTCTCTCCCCTTTCTTTTACATACCAGCTCCTTCAAAGATTATGGGGAAAATGAATGTTGACGCGGTGGGTGATTACTCATCACGATACAAGAAGAAGTCGTCGGTGACGCCGTCGAAGAGGATGAGCCGGGAGGAAGACGAGGCCATGGCCTTAGGGAAACGTCTTTCCTTAGCCGAACACGAGGCTAAGGAGAGTGAGCGACGATCTTCAGGTCGTCGGGATAGGAGAGATGAGGGTGACCGTCGTGATCGACGTGGTCATGATGTTGTCGGTGCCGATCGTTCGGAAGCAAGATCCGACGTAGAGAGGGAGAGGAGGGAGAAAGAGGTGGCTGAAGCGCGGTCAGCTAAGCTACCTGTTGCCGAGACTTCTCACGATGTGCCCCTAGGCGGCAGGGAGGTTATTTTGTATGACAACTCTCAGGTCGAGCCGACCAAGAAGCGGGCTGCTGATGAGTCCGAACCGGTGCGTTCGGACCCGACCAAGAAACAAAGGATGGCCTGGGCCCCTGATTATAGGTGGCGATATGATTATAACGGGCGCGACGTCCATATCTCGACTGATTCCACATCCTGTGCGGAGCTGTTCCTCAAGCTTCACGTCGGTCCATCTCCCTTCTTCGAGCTCCAAGATATGTGGGAGAGAACGGCGTTCACTGACGCTGCGAAGAAGACCGTTGCGGTAATGCCTTAAGAACTTTTCGTAATACTTTAAGTGTTTTGCTCTCTAACCCAGCTTCTACTTCTTTCTGTAGGCCATTGGCGCGATTGACAGGATGGCGTACATGTACGAGCGTCGTCTCCGCGTTGTTTCTGAGCAGAACACGGCCTCGAAGGATCACCAGAGGGCCTTGGCAGCCGAGACGAGGAGGGCTGATCAGGCGTCGAAGGGCTTGGAGAGTGCCAACTCCGAGGTGCAGCTTCTTCGCGAGGAGGTCGCCAAACTGAAGGAGGAACGGGATAACGCTCTTTCAGAACGGGAGCGTTGTCTTGTTGAGTTGTCGAAGTCCCGAGTTGACTTTAAGAACTTGGCCGAGCAGTCACAAGCCGAGGAGGCAAGGCTTCGGAAGCGGCGCACCGAATACGCTCGTAAGGCTCTCAAGGAGGCTGCAGACCAATTTCAGCAACGTCTCGATGGGATTCAGAGGCATTTTACTACCAGGGACGCGGCGTATCCCAAGTTCCTCGATTATAATCAGGCGGTCGGGAGCGTTGACCTGCTGAAGGCGCTGGCTGAAACTGGGGAGGTCGTCTTGAACTCCAAGGACGTGATTGAGAGGCTTGAAGCTGATGCGGAAGAGCTTAAGAACGAGGTCAATGCGTTCGACATTGCCGAGCTGGAGGAAGGATGGAATGACGTCGGAAATCTCTTCACGGGCTCTCTCGCTGCTGAGGAGTTTGCGCCTTCGGTTGAAGGTGTTGACGATGAAGTTGCTGGTGACGTCGAGGCCGTCGACCAAGTCGTTGGTGATGGCGACGCCCAGATCGGAGATCCTCCTCAAGATGAGGCCGCGTCTTGAGTTTTTATGTTGTTTTTTTTTTTAAAGCTATTTGCCGCGTAGTCGGCTTTTGTAAGACTCTTGCCACTTCTGTTGGCTTTTCCTTTATTGAATATCTATTTCGTTTGTTATCTTTTGCGTATATTGTTGAGTTCGTTCCGCGCAGGTTATTGAGGACGACCTCAAGAACTTGGTCGATAATCGTGTTTGGGTCGGATCCAAGACACTCGGTGGTACGACCTTCGAGGTCGTTCCGCGCAAGTTATTGGGGACGACCTCTATAACTTGGTCGATAATTGTGTTGGGTTGGACCCTGGACAATTTTAGGTGCGACCTCCGGGGTCGGCTTATCCTGTTCGAATGATTAAAACGAGCGTGATTGCGAGTTCGGCCTCGGCTTACGTGATCAGTCGTTTTAATCGTGCGAGTACGGAACTCGGCTTTCGTTCGATTAGACACCGGGCCAGGGTGCTAACGTATTTCGTTTCGTTTCTGTCTTTAGAAAGATAGATTTTATTAATATTTGCAGCTGTGCCTCGTAAACGAGGCTGCCTACGTACCCTCTGATCGGAGGGATCAAGCCGCTCGTAGTTCACATTACATAGTGAGGCATCGGTAAGGCCGAGCTCTTTTTTTTTTTTTTTTTTTTTTTTTTTTTTTTTTTAAATAATAGTATCGCTTCAGATGCATCGAATTCCATGTGCGGGGGACTTCGACGCCGGACATTGTGAGGAGTTCGTAGTCTCCGGGTCGGACGATCTTCGATATCTGATAGGGACCTTCCCAATTCACGCCTAGCTTCCCGGCGTTGAGTTCGGCCGTGTTTTCGAACACTTTTCTGAGGACGAGGTCGCCTTCGCTAAAATGCCGATTATGGACTTTCTTGTTGTAGTATTTCGCTGCGGCGAGTTGATAATTCTGGATTCGACATAGCG